CTTCTGTCGGAATTCCATCTGATGCCGCTGCTTTCCTGGATTTCAGCAAGTTAATGGCGTTCAGGACTTTTGCTTTTGTCGTAGGGCTTGTGTCCATTTGTAATTCTATGTCTGGGCAGCTAATATTCCTGGACGAGTTGCAGGTGGTCGTGGTGTTCGAGTCAATAGTTTTTTTGAAGTGGTCAGCCCATTGCTTCCTTTATTTCTCCTCTTCGGTGGCAACTAGGTTTCCTTCACTATCTTTCATTGGTTTCATCTCTGTTGGTCTCTTCCCAGATAGTATTTTGGTTATTGGATATAGTGTTGTCAGGTCTTTTCTACCAGCAGCCTGTTCTGCTTCACTTTCCAGTGTGCCGTAGAAGTGTCTGTTGTCTTTGCGCGCACTCTTCCTCACTTTTTTGTTCAGTGTAATGTTTTATAGGTTGTGTTCAGTTCCCCTTTCGTTGTTTATCCTTGCACTGGTTCATCTTCTGCTTCACCATCTTCCTCTCTATCAGTTTCCATGTCACTCAAGATCCATTCCTTGTCCTCTTTCGTCCTCCTTCGTAATATGGTTATGCAGGTTTCTTTCCACATAGCTTTCAAAGACTTCCAGTGTTCTTCCACACAGGTTTCTCCAAGGATGTTACTCGACATCTCCCATTTTGTCTTGATGGCTGACATGAAGATTTCCTTTGTAGTTTCGTCCCTCAGTTTCTGTTCTGGGTGTTGAACTTCAACTGCGGTTTATCACCAGCTTCCTTGAAGGCTTTCAACTTGATTTGGAAGGTTCCTTGCACCAGATAGTGGTGCGAACCTACATCTGCTACCCTTCTTGACCTTGTGCCAAGTAGGCTGCGTCTCCACTTTCTTGAGATTGAGATGAAGTCGATCTGATTTTTAATGTGTCCATCTGGTGGAATCAAATCCATATCGCTCGCTTTGTGAATATCCTTATGTTTGTACACACTGCCTCTAATCACCAAATCGTTGAATGCACACAATTGTGTAAACAGTTCTACGTTCTCGTTCATTTCACCTAGAGCTTCTCGACCCCTGGTGGTTAGTTCTCTTCCTGTGTTGTCCGCTCCGAGTTTGGCATTCATGTCACCCAACTCATTAGAATTTTGATGTCGCCAACTGGCGTGGGTCCTTGTCCATTACTGATTGCAGTTGTCGATAGAATTTCTCCTTCGTCTCTTGATCTGCATTATTTGTAGGTGCATAGAGTAGCGTAGCATTGTATGATTGTGACTTTTCTTCCTTTCCAGTTGAATCTTGTTATGGTGCTACAGAAGGACATTGGTTCACACTGCATCACACACAGCCTTCGATGCTCTTGAAGGGTAGATCATTATAGCTACTCGAAAACTCAGTGTGCTCGTGGTTGTCGTCTGGGTGACAAAATCGGAGTGAATTATTGACTCTCCAGTTAATAGTTTGGAGAGTTCACTTCCATTCCATCTGCTTTTGCACATTACAAGCACTTCTATGCCATACCTTCTCATCTCCTCGGCAATCTGGGCAGCCTTGGTAGGTTCATACATTGTGCGGACATTCCATGCCACCATTCTTACTTTTGGTTTCATCTAGAGAGAAGAAGACACATCGGCCAATTGGCTTCCCGAAGGCTGTCACCAACCGGCGTCATTTCGCCTCTCGGATTCCAGCAAGGAAGAAGTTTATTTTTTATATTTTCTTGTGCTTTGGAGTTTCTTTAGCGGTAGGATTGGTTTTACTGGGTAGGGTTGCTAGCCCTATGCCCAACCCTTTCCTCTTTATCCGGGCTTAGGACCGGCTAGTAACTAGTGAACTAGTTAACCAGGTGAGGTTAAGTACAAAAAAAAATATTTCTTCCTAAAACATCAGTGGGTTTACTATTTTCATTCAATCATGAAGCCATATACTCAAGAACTACCTAACATCGTAATGTTATGTTCACTAATGACTGCGTATACAAAGAACTTTCTATGTGGTCAAACTGTTACTGTTATGTTGCTTGTAAGCTCCTTATTCGAAAAAAACACATATATCTTACAAGTTCTGCAGTTTTTGTGATTATACTAAGTTCTATGTGCTACTTGCGACCACTTGCCCTTTTGTAACGTGGGTGGTGAATCTTGCACATTAAATTGCCAATTTACTCTTGTCAGTTTGCACTCATATCTGCTCATTGTATCAAAAGTACGATTTAATGAATTTTTACTTACTTCAAAGCCTAACCAGATCATTACTGTAATGTAGATATTCTCCTGCTTTGAGTCTATGACATATAATTATCCAGACAATCTTTGGTCAGTGATATGGTGTGTATCTTTATCACCTCTGTGTTTACAATGAATTATTTCCAACAAGGCACATGATAACTTTTTTTACGTTTTTCTTTTAGGAAATGCAAAAGAAATTCATCCTCGTGAAAATCTGTTATGTATAGAAACCTTGAATATCCATTTTTCTATTCTGTTCTGTACATTAATTCTACTTATATAAACCTGCCGATTATCTTTGGGTAGTTAAACTTTACCAGCCAAAAGTGTGAAACTGGTTCAAGTATACAGTCATGCCTGTGCTTGTATTTGCAAGAATAAATTATTATTATTAATTTCAGACTGGTCCATAACCAGTGGTTTGGTTTGATGTGACTGAGAATCGTGTTTTCTTGTACTTTCATTCTTAAATCTAGTGAAATTATTTTAGATAACTACCCTCTTCATTACGCCATGATCACTAAGAGATTTACCATACATTAAAGGAATATATAATAATTTATAAACCAGAATGATGAATAACATTTAATGTCACACAAACCTGAAGATCTACAGGCGAAAACTACCAAGTTGGCAGAAGAGGCAGAGAAGACAGGAATTCAAGTTAACGTGGAGAGGACGGAGGTGATGAAGATACCCAATCAACAACAACAACAAGCTCCAATCACCATCAACGGAGAAACTTAAAGGAAGTGGCCTCTTTCACCTATCTAGGCAGCACTGTTTCAACTACAGTCCGCACATGCACAGACGAGGACGACAATGCCAGCCAGGATCGGAAAAGCAAGACAGGCGTTCATTAGCCTGAAATCAGTGTGGAGACCCACTGCACTCAGTATGTAGAACAAGATCCGGACTTTCAACATCAACGTCAAGTCAGTGCTTCTGTGTGGCTCAGAGACTTGGTGCGTTACGAAAAGCATTTCCAACAAACTAGACATTCATCAACAATTGCCGCCTACGCTCACTCGGTACTGAAGATCAGATGAGATGGCCAGAAATAATAGGCAACAAGGAAATCTGGAAACGAACCAACGAAGCAAGAACCTATTGCTCAACAAATATGCACTGGAAGGAAGTGGTGATGGATTGGACATACACTGAGAAGACGGTTTGAGGAAATCATGCACCAGGCCAGGCCTTCGAGTGGAACCCAGATGGGAAGCGATGAGTTGGGCGTCTGAGGTGAGGGTGACATGGAGGAGATCGTGCGAGGAGGAAATGAAAGCTTGTAGGCTGTCGTGGAGCCAGGTTCAAAAGTTTGCAGGAACAGAGTGCACTGGAGACGTGCTACTGAAGCCCTATGTCCCATTAGGAACCCAAGGGACGAGTCAACCAGATAACCCCTAAGGAGTAGGCCCATTCCTGTGAAGTCAGACGTACCTAAGGTTATATCCATTAGTACGTCTATGACGAAGTCAAGTAGGAACGATGACAGTGGGTATCCCTGGCGGACACCACTAGTTGTCGTCAATTCAGATGACAACTCTCCACAAGCCCCTACACGTCTGGGTGAGCTCGAGTAGAGAACTTTGATAAGTACTATATATTTCCTCGGTACTCCCTTCACAGTCAAACGTTGCCTCACCTCACGATCGACAGAGTCAAATGCCGTCTCCAGGTCAAGAAATATGGCAAGTGTCGGTCCTCGGTAGGTATATCCGTGTTTCAGGACCAGTTGGAGGGTGAAAATACCGTCCATGCACTCTCGTCCAAGTCTCAAATCTCCCTGGTTTTCTTCAGTTTGCTGTTCTCGAGCTCCAGTCAGGCGTTGGATGACTGTGGACCCCAGGATCTTGGACATAATATTAGTCAAACTAATTCCCCTACAGTTGTCACAAGAAGACTTCTCTTCTTTCTTATACACTCAGATGATCAGTTAACTAGACCAGTCTGACGGTACTACCTCTGATCTTCATAAACCACCTCGTACCTTCTTCACTTTAGTCAGTAATTTCCTGCATCCATCCCCGAAAACTTCAGGTGACAAACTGTCAGGTCCTGCTGCTTTCCATCGTTTCAGGTTCGATACAGCTTTCTCAACTTCAAGAAGAGTTGGAGAACCGACATCTACATCCCATTGACGTTCAGGCTGGACGTTAGGCAACTAAGGCATTTCTGAGGGTTAGTTGAACTGTGCTTCAAAGTGTTCTGCCACTATGACAAAGGTGTTGGATGAAATCACTTATGATGTGAAAATATAATAAGCTCAAATAGATGAATCAAGTATCTTTATCACTCATATGCGTCAACAATCCACACGTCAGTGGTTCTATCAAAAAAGTAACCTAAAGGAATTCTAACTGGTAGTATCCTGCATAGATTATAAAGCATGTACTTCGCTTATTAACTACATGCTACTGCTGATACGAGATCGCAATGTTCAAAAAGTGACCCTGACAAACACTGAAAAAGAAATTTTAGGAAATCTGAATATAACCGTGAATCATTTTTTTTAACTGCCTCAAGTATATTCAGTGATCCCTCCCGAAACTATCCTACTACGCTAAGGTTGTCATTCAATAATCCAAAGTTGAAATCAGAGACTGAAAACTTAAATACACGAGTGAAAGAACTAATGTTTTATTTTAATTTCGCTCACAGGAATGAAAATTCGCGAAATAACTTGCATAGGCTTCTTAAGATTGAGGAACCGATAGTTACTGACAGTTGTACCAGTGTTACAGAATTTTTATCAACTTTATTAGGCGCACAGATCGTTGCAAGTGATATTCATAATTAAAGGCAATATGGACAGACTGTACATAAATTTATGTCAGTGATAATGAGAAAAAAATGTTTAAAAATTACGTTTCACGCATTGAAAATGCATAAATTATAAAAATTACAGAGAAGAATCTAATCTAGCTGCATGAGTTCGAATTTTACCAAAAATCTTGTTTGGAGGGGCGCCCAGTATTAAATCACAAATTGCTCGTCGAGCCACAGCAATACGATCATTGCTACCCAGAATGTGTATGGTTTCATCGGCAACAACTATGCGAGTTCGTGTAGCATTTTCAATGCACATACGAATACGACCTTTAGCACCACAAATGCGACCTACTGCTCGTGCCATGTGATCACCCTAAAGCAGAAAAGAATATAATGTGCAATGAAAATGAATTGAAAAGTAATAAAGGGGATATGGATGACTAAATGACAGTATCATCTGTTACAAGAAAAGTTAAAAACACCCTTTACAAACAATTAAAAATAACTGAAAAGTGGAACGCTACCACCGATACCTAAGTACCTAATGGGATAAATTTAAAACGCATGTGTAGCAGACAAGTAGAATACGTCGAAAAATAGGAAAAGTTGAAATAAAATACATCATATACACCATATATGTAGACACTGGTTGAAAATGATTTTATTTAGTAACAAACAGAAGACTTATAAGAAATCACACTCATAACCAGCTGTCATTTATTCAACTGAGGTCTAGAAATGAAATTTATTGAGTATCCAAAGGATCAAAGTATTACTCACAGTCAAACGCTACGCAGAATTTGAAATGGAATTTTATCATTCCCTAATTCGCATTTAAGCAAATCGTTACTGAGTATCCAAACATCTGCTAATACCTCAAGGTGGTGATTCGGCTTCACTCAACGAGCTGTCCTGATGGGACGACTGTTCTTTGAGGTCTTACCATACCAGAACAGTCTGTTGGATAGTGATCAGACAAAAATCAGTTATTGCTACAGTGTTGATCGCAAACATATGATGGATATGGAGCTGTAGCCCAGTGGATCAGGGAGATGACAATCAACCACTGAGTCACGAGTTTCAGCCTCACTTTACCTACCGAGGTTTGGGCAGTCAGGTGCTATTACGGGCCCTCATGCAATAGGTGTGACTTACTGCCTGTTGCAAAGATGCGCACAAGGTGGCTGAGTGCGTTTCGTTTCATCCATTCGTTTCTATGATGGGGGCCCGAGGTCGAAGTAGTACTGCTAACTCGAAGGAGTGTGACAACAGTGGTGTGCTAATTAGCCTTTCCTATGTAAGACGAAGGGGTTAGATAAGACCAGTCTTAGAAATAGCACACTCCCACTACCCAGAGGCATAACGGTGCCGGCGATGTGCGCCCATAGTAGAATTCACAAACACTAAACTAAGATTTCAAACTTCTAAAAAGGTTGTGTGTGGCAAGTCTCAGGCAGACGTCTCTTTAACTATGCCGTCATGTACCAACCTTTTTTAGGCACCTCAGGAAGAACGAGCCTTCAACGATATGGGCAACTTGGAAGTGTTAATCGCCTTCACAACTTTGTCAGCATCGGGGTTCCCTCAAAATCACTATTAACCTTCAGCATTTTTATTTCGCAGTTTTTCTTCACGTCCGTTGGTCAATAATCCTACAAGATCTTTAATTTCTTCCAGCTCTGAAGCTCTTAGAAACGGTTCTAGTTTACGGAACAGCATTCCTGGTCTCCGAAGCCAAACCACACATTGGAACTCCCAATGTCTTCACCCTCCGACATATCGGACAATAAGCTTCGTTAGCCAAAATTTTGGTATCTCGGACGATGGATGTGTTCATGAGACACGCATACAGAACCAAGGTGTGCATATTCAATAAACCTCATCTGACTAATATGATGAATCTGCGAAGTACGCCTAAAGATTTTCTGGGAATACGACAACTAGTTTTCGCAGGCGTAGACATAGCATTACATGCCAAGGCATAAAGTGTAATGCTCAAATGGATCCCAGTTGACAGCCACCTATACACTCTCCGACTGAGTAGCACAGTGAGGATTATAAAGAATGGTGAAACTCACAGTTGTCTCTTTGCATTCTCAATTTTCCCACTTACAGCAGTTCGGATGAGTTCTGTCAAAAAATACCTAGCTTCCTAATGGAAGCTCAATGATTAGACGTGGTCGTCATAGTAGGGGATCTCAATGCACAAGTGGGCAGACTAAGTCAGACAAAAAGGCACTTAGGTGTCACTTGTGAAATCCCAGCCGAACGAACGGCGGTAGTCTGTTACAACTGCGCTCAAATAAACATATTTCTGGTCAGCACGAGCCTTAGATAGAGACAGTATCTGACGTGGCGTTCACCGAGCCCAACTCAGGTGGATACATAGGTCACATTGCTATTAGTTATCGCGGGATAGGGTTGGTGGAAGCCTGCCATTCTTTCTGGAGCACGTTCTTACGCAGCGACCAAACGTTGTTTGAAGTGAGTGTCTGCGTCTTAATGGACGTAAGAAAACTTTGGCAATAAGACCACAGCGAGTGGAGCCTGACAATAACACTGGCCACTTTCAGTAAGAAAGTGGCTCGACAGTTACAGGAACACAGAAATATCCAGAAGACATTGACAAGATGCAGTCTCTTCCACAGATTGAGTGGTAATTGGAAGACATTTGGGTTGTCTCTCGTCACTCAAATGCAAATTGTTGCTCCAGAACTAGTCTTTAATGGTGCCTCGTCTAAAAGTAGGAAGTCAAATCGGTCCTGGTGGGTCAGTGACCTATGAAATCTCTACATGGATACAAAAGGCTTGATTGGCTTTGGCCAACTCACACCACCTGTGGCGCCACCACGAAATCCGATTGTCGAATAAGGGTCGAGTGTAATATGCAGCAGTTTATCCTATTGTGCATGATCACTAAGGGTAGGGGATATGAGGCTTTAGGTGTTTGATCACTGTCGCCTTTATGGCATTGGCCGAGTGTCATGATGTCACCAAGTCGTTAGGGTAGAAGACAAGTGTAGAGCCTTAGAAAGATGAATGACAGTCAATAAGGTTGTGAAACATAATCAACTCAGGTGGCTAAGACATATTTTAAGTATGCCTTGCTTCTCCGTACATTGTTAGCTGAAGTAGATTTCGGCTGGAAAAACGTTAGGGGCTGTTAGATTTAGTTTGGCAAGTATTGCTCAAACCCATCAACGGGTTTTATCGTTTTATTAAATGAGATGCTTCTTCTGTAGATAGATAACCCTTGACATAAAATTTGCTGACTTAGTGTTCGGACCACGTGTAAATGATACTCTGAAGCTACCAAACTAATTGTGTGCAACTCACATGCTGTTATCAATGTATTTAGCATAGTATCAAACACTTAGCAGTTTTAAATACCTTTTGCAATAGACAGCATGGGTTCAAAAGTCAAACAAGCTCTTATTGTGAATCCTTACTATGATAAGTTTAATTGCTGGACACCCGTGATGAAGAATACTCCCGACCGATATCTGCCACCTTGACGTGATGATGGAGCTCGCATATAACAATGACCCAGCGATTTACACTGGCTGGAACATTTGTTCCTTTGAGGTGTTGACATGCCAGAAAGGTCTCTGGGATAGTGGTTAGACGAAAAGTAGTTACCGTTGTGGTGTAAATTACCACACTATGATAGGGGTCCTAGGGCGAAGTTCTACTGCTGCTAGCTGGATGGGGTGACAGCAGTAGTGTTCCTCTTGGATAACCAGCAGTGCCACGCTGATGCTGCCTTCCATATGGGAAGGGGTTAGGAAATGTCAGTCCCAAAAATAACACACCCCACCCATTTGCGGCATGCCGATGCTCGAAACGGGATTCACAGGCGGACTCAAATGCAAAAAACCAAAACCTAAGAATTGTCAAACGACCGTATGTGACAAGCCTCAAGCAGATGCTTCATAGATTCTGCGGTCACACAAATCTTTTTCTCTTTTAGGTACCTCAAAAAAAAATTGCTTCACGGTGAGCAGTCAGGAAGTGTCAACCACCCACACGCTTCCAGTAGTACACAAAACCCTATCACATATAACCTAACCTCCTCAACTCTCTCCTCCTTTGCCTTCGCCTCCTGATACTAATATTTAACTTCTTACGCCTTACCCAACCTTTACTTGCAACCAATGCCAAAGATCAAAGCCATCAATATCTTATTCCTAGTTTCCTAAGAACCCGCCATCGATTTCATGTAGGAGCTTTCAACGTCCAAACTCTATACCAGACAGAACAGCAAGCATCACTCGCAAAACCCTTAAATCTCTAACCATGAATGTATGCTGTCTCTGAGGTAGGTATACCGAACCAGAGTGTAGTTATTAAAATTGACCACATCTGGCCATATTAGTGAATCTTCAAAACTCACTTTAGGAGTATCCAGAGACGCAATGACCAGCTCTCGTGGAATCTGTGATGTAGACATAGCATTGATTTGTAGAGCAGAAAGTGCTCTCCTCGACTGGTTTTCAGTAGACAGCCATCTATGTCCTGTTTGACTGAATGGATGTGTAAGAACTAGGAAAGATTGTGAGTCTAGGTGATGCCCATTCTTAATCTCCACCTGCGCACCCAATGACTGCAGCCTGGATGATGCAAAGGATCGATTCCATTACAAGCTGTCAATTTCGCTACAAGGAGCAAAACGTTCAGACGTAGACATAATGGCATGTGACTTTAACGCCCAACTAGGGAAGTTAAGCCAATCGGAAAGGCATCTTGGAAAATCTGCGGAATCCCATGGCAACGAACCGACAATGGTGATCGTCTGTTGCAATTTCACTCTGACAATCGCTTGTTTCTAGCCTGCACTAACTTTAGGCATAAGGAGAGACATTGTCTCTCATGACAGTTGCCGCAGGGAACAAGTGACAGTAAAAGCTGTATATGGTCGATTGGAAAATGAAAACGTCAAGCTACCATTCAAAGAAGTGGAATACAAGCATTTATCTGAACGTTGCAGGAATGCTCATCCCGAGGAAACATGGTGTGACATCATGTCTTCTAAAGAAACAGCGGTAAAGACAATTGGCAACCCACACCTGAAGATTAACAAATGTCACTGGATTTATGAGACGTCATATGAACTGATTGATGCAAGGAGACTGATTTCAGCTGGCTTTGACCACGATGCAGAGCGAAAACAAGTGAAACCTAAGTTGACAAAGAGTCTTGGTGTTGGTCGCAAGCAGTGGTGGGCAGCAAAAGCGAGAGATAGAGAAGGCATCGGCGTTGGGTAACACTCAGCAACTATTTAGGCTTTGTAGGGATACCACCAAGAGAAAGGATGGCGAGTGAAATCATCACTGAACGGATGGGACACTGATAACTTCTCAGAACAACCGGCTA